CAAAACATTACTGAAAGAAAATAAAGAAGACATAAATAAATGATAAGATATCTCCTGCTCAGGGCGCCTGGGTGGCTCAGATGGTTAAGCGTCTGCCTTCGGCTCAGGTCATGATCCCAGGGTCCTGGAATCCAGTCCCACATCAGGCTCCCTGCTTGGCGGGAATCCTACTTCTCCCTCTCCCATTCCAAGCCCTGCTTGTGTTCCTGCTCTCTCTGTCTCTGTCAAATAAATAAAATCTTAAAAAAAAAAAAGATATCTCATGCTCATAGATTGAAAGAATTAATATTGTTAAGATGTCAGTAGTACCCAAAGTAATCCACAGAGTCAGCACAGTCCCAATCAAAATCCCAGCAGCACTTTTTGCAGAAATAGAAAAATCTGTCCTAAAATTCATATGGAATTTCAGAGGACCCTGAATAGCCAAAACAATCTTGAAAAAGAACAAATTTGGACTATTCATACTTGTTGGTTTTAAATATATTATAAAGCTACAGTCATCAACACAGTGTGGTAATCTCATAAAAACAGACATATAGTCATGTGCAATAAAATGGAGAACCCCCCCCCAAAATTTTGTGAGTATGGTCAAGTGATGTTCATCAAGGGTGCCAAGACCATTCAATGGGGAAAAGATAGTCTCTTCAACAAATAGTTTTGGGAAAACTGGATAGCCATATGCAAAAGAATGAAGTTGGACCCTTATCTAATACCATATACAAAAATTAACTCTAAATGGAACAAAGATCTCTGACATCAGACCAAAAACTATAAAACTCTTAGGAGAAAATATAGGGGAAAACTTCATGACATTGAATTTGGCATTGTTTTCTCTGATATGACACCAAAGACACGAGTAAATAAAGCAAAAATAGACAAATGGAACTATATCAAAGTTGTTTAAAACTTCTGTGCATCAGAGAACACAGTCAGGAGTGAAAAGGCAGTCTATAGAATGGGAGAAAATATTTTTAAAATCACTTATCTGGGGGCACCTGGGTGGCTCAGTTGGTTAAGCATCTGCCTTCAGCTCAGGTCATGATCCCAGGGTCCTGGGATCCAGCCCTGCATCAGGCTCCTTGGACAGTGGGGAGCCTGCTTCTCTCTCTCCCTCTGCCTACTGTTCCCCCTGATTGTGCTCTCTCTCTCTGTGTCAAATAGATAAATAAAATCTTTTAAAAAAATCACATATCTGATAAGGGGTTAATATCCAGAATATATAAAGAACTATAATTCAACAACATTTAAACATTTTACTACAAAACTGACAGAATTAAAGGAAAAATTGAACAACAAAATAACCCTATTTTTAAAAGGGCAAAGGACTTGAATAGACATTTTTCCAAAGATGATATACAAATGGCCAATAAGCATATGAAAGAATGCTCAACATCATTAATCACAGAGAAATGCAAATCAAAATCACAATGAGATATCATTTCACACCCATCAGGATGGGTACTATTAAAAGAAAAGTTTTTAACAGAAAATAAGTAGTGGCAAGGATATAGAGAAATTAGATCACTTGCCCACTGTGGGTAGGATTATAAAATAGTATAGTCGCTATGAAGATTATATGGTGGTTCTTCAAAAAATTAAAAATAGAATTACCATATGATCCATCAATCCCACTTCATATCCTCCCACAGGGGTATATATGTAAAAGAATTGAAAGAAGGGTCTTGAAAAGATATTTGCACACACATGTTCATAGCAGCATATTCACAATAACCAAGGAGTGGAAGTAACTGAATTGTCCATCAACAGATAACTAGGTAAACAAAATGTGGTATATACAGATAAGATGAAATATTAATTCTGCTTTAAACAGGAAGGAAATCATCCCATATGCTACAACATGGATGGTAGCATAATGAAGACAAGATACTACGTGAAATAAGCCAGTCACAAAAAAAGACAGTATATAATGTGATGCACCCAAAGTATCTATAGTAGTCATATTAATATAAAAAACAAATGGGAGCACCTGGGTGGCTCAGTCAGTTGGGCCTCCAACTCTTGATTTCAGTTCAGGTCTTGATCTCTGGGTCGTGGGTTCAGGCCCCCTGTTGGGCCCCACATTGGGCTCTGCGCTGGGCGTGGAGCCTACTTAAATTAAAAAAAAAAAAAATCTTTTTAAAAGCAAATAGAATGTTGGTTACCAGGGGTTAGGGGAAGGGGGAAATTGGGTGTTATTGTTCAATATGTATAGAGTTTCATATTGCAAGATGGAAAAGATCTGTTCGCAACTATGGATATATACTTAACAATACTAAACTGTACACTTAAAAATGGTTAAAATAATAAACTCTGTTACATGTTTTTACCACAATTTTTAAAAATTTTAAAAAGAAAACAGGCTATAACAAATGTTGCCAAGAAAGTAGAGATACAGGAAGTTTCATACATTGCTGGTGGGAATGTAAATGGTACAACCACTTTGGAAAACAGTTTGGCAGTTTCTTTAAAAAATTAAACATAAACTTATCATAGGACCCAGCTGTCCCACTTCCAGGTACTGACTCCCCCAAAATGAACATATATGTCTAATAAAGGCTTACATGTGAATGTTCATAGCAGCATTATTCATAATAGCCAAAAAGTGGAAACAGACCAAATGTCCATCAGCAGTTGAATGGATAAGCAAAATGTGCTATATTTATACGTGGGAATACTATAAAAAAAAAAAAAAGAGCTCCTGATACATGCTAAGACATGGACAAACCTCAAAAAAAATATTAAGCTAAGTAAAAGGAAGCCACATACACAAGATCACATATTGTATAATTCTGCATATATGAAATGTCCAGAAGGGCAAATCAGTAGAGCCAGAAAGTAGAGGAGTGTTTGCCTGGAGCTAGAGGTGGGGACAGGAATTAACTGTAAGCAGGCATGAGCGATCTTATTTCAGTTATGAAGATGTTCTTTTTTTTTTTAAGATTTATCTATTTTAGAATGAGATAGTGCTCATGAGTAGGGGGAGAGGGAGAAGGAGAGACTTTTCAAACACACTCTGCACTGAGCGTGAAGCCCATCATGGGGCTCAGTCTCATGACCCATGAGATCATGACCTAAGCTGAAACCAAGTGTTGGACACTTAACCAACTGAGTCACCCAGGCACCCCTATGAAGATGTTCTAAAAATTGATGGTCATAGTTGCCAAACTCAATAAATTTACAACAAATCATTGAACTGTACATTTAAAATGGGTGAATTTTTAAGGTTTTTCAATAATAAAAATGAAAAAAATTGGAAAAGAAGGGTATTCTCAAGATTCAACACCATTCTTGAGTTGAAAGAAGTAAAGTGTTCACTGTAGGCAATGTAGGGAGGGTAAAAAAAGAAACTTTAGGAAAATCATAAAGCTTCACAAGAAAGGAATGATTTTCTTAGTATACTACTGTGTGGATTTCCACCATCAGTCCAAGGAAGGCTGCTAGTCCCCACAGAAAAGGCCTTGTAACCCAGCTGTTTCTCTCTCTCAAAAGCATAGCCAGCAGAGTCTCTCTCCTGTGCCATAGTAAATAATTTTAACATAGTCCTCATACTGTAAACACTATTTAGTTATAATATTTAGAATCAGTTTATATACAAAGCACAGAAGACAAGTGTATTAGCCTTGACAGTGGAAAACAGAAAAGCGTAGAAGATAAAGATTAGGAGATGAAAAGGGATAGGATCTCTGAGAATAGTAGGGTTGCTATAACATCTTTATCTTTATCCCAAGTGGGGAGTCAAGAGATACTATCTATAGATGATGGAACATAAATTGAGATAGTTATTTTAGGAAGAGAAGCAGGGAAATGGCACAAGTGAGTTAAATCCTTATCTAGCACAGCAAAGCCAACAGGTAATGTCTAAAGTTAATAAATCAAGAAATAGTGATAAGAGCAGCTTTTTAGAGATGTTTAGGGTAACTTTCAGAAGAAAGAGTTTAAAATTTCCCTCTAGGGTACTCAGGGCAAGCAATAGAGGAGAGTGGTGTTAGTGGAAGACTTCCGTCATAAATCTAGCACAAGTACTTGGTTTTTAAAAAATCATTTGCACCAATTAACGAGGATAAGAGAAAAAAATATACACATTTGGAAGACAAAGTTATCCATCCCCACCTCCTCTTTAAAAAGAAAGACTGTTTGTGCTTGCAATGGTCATTCTTTTTCCTGCTGACTAAACCATACCCTAGTCCATGAGTGTATATTCTCAGAGTATATGCCTACCCCCTAGTGTTTGAAAAGTTCCTAAAGAGTCCAGAAATGGTTTGGGGCCTTATTCTTCGAATTTTCAAAGCCTGAGCTCCTGGGCCTGGGTCCCAGCACTTGTCTCCCAGTAAAGGGAGACCAACAAATGGTACATGTCTGCCTGGTGTGTCACAGGTGCTTACACTGGTTTTGGTACCATTACGGTTATCACCACGTAAATCACAAAGACACTGAGACTCAGAAGGGCAAGTTGAATAAGGTGTGGATCTGAGTTTAAAACAACAAACAAAAATAAATACATAAGGTCTGTGTGCCATCAAAGCCCACATTCTTTACTGCATCGGTTGGGCTTTCTCAGTTAGGATCATTTCACCTGTAACAACCCAACTCAGACTTGCAAAAACAGTAAGGATATGCATCAGCTCATGTTACTAAAAGTTTAGCAGTGGTATGGACATCATGGTTGCTTGATCCAGCAGCTCAACAGGGTCATTTAGGAGCCAGTTTTTGTCTCTCTGTTTTGATATCCACAGTTTGGGGTTTATCCTGAGACTGACTTCTCGGTTATCTATCTCTTAAAATTAGGAAGTCTGTAGTCCTGAGCCTCCAGGCTCCGAGACTGCCCTATTTCCCCTCTTTTGTAATGGCCTACGCTGCCTGCTCTCTCTCAGGAGCTGCTTTTAGGTACAGACACACTTGTTGACACATGGCCTTCCCTTGGACTTCATATTTATGAGAGCCCAATACTCACTGTCACCAGGAAATTGAAAGGAAATACTTCTCATTTTTTTCTCCCACAGGGACAGAATCTGCCTGGGCGAGTCCTTTTTATGCGTTATGTGGTACAGACTCTGGAAGATGACTTCCAGCAGATCCTGAGGAGGCAGCGACAGCACCTGCAGCAGTCCATTGCAAGCACTGTGCTGTCCTGCGACAAGCAGCCCCACAATGTCAGGTAACCAGCGCCTGAGCCTGGGGGTGACGAGAGGTCAGGGCCGTAAGTGGGCAGCTCCTCAAGGCTCAAGAACACTGGGTGGATGAGACTATAGTCACTCGATAGTATAACAGGGATAGCTATTAAAACTATAGATGATCCCAAAAGAAAATCTGTCTGTACCAGCTATGTGTCAGGCACCACAGCCTTCGTGGTTTTTCTCAAGACCATCAGATGTCCTTTGGTGTATTTCAGAATTGTCCAGACAGCCTCAGGAGACCTAGGCGGGGAGACCTTAACTTATGTAAAACTTTTCACAGCTTTTATAAACCTCGGTTTATTTCCATCTCCCTGAATAACTCAAGAACTCTAATTTGTCACTGCTAGTTTCTGGAAACTAATATATGATAATAGATCATGTGGCTAACAATACAGTACAAAAATGGTAGCTAGCAAGCATGTGTTCTTTTTCGTAGAATCAGGGCAAGAGAGAGCTCTTGGAAGCTTCAGAGCAGGGAGATACCATATCCTTCTATCAGTGGGAGAAAATGTGATTTCTAGGGTGGTGATTTCAGGCTGGAATTTTCCTCCTGAAACTACAACCCTTGCTTTTTTTGGAAATGGTTCTCACCAGACTAAAGTACCAGCATCCTTTTTTTTACCAGCATCATTGAAACTCTTCCATTCATATTTATGTTCCCATATGTTCTTGCATGTTTGTTAAAAATAGTTTTCTATGGGCCAATATGGGATACTGACTATTTTAACTACTTTAATAAAAAAAGGAGGAAGCTTCATATTGTTTTGAGCATTAGCCAGCTTCCCTGCTTAGTTTGCATGGCCATATTCATTTTTCTAGATGTGGCATTTTATGTAGTTTTTTTTTTTATTTATTCGTTTGAGACAGAGATACAGAGAGAGAGAGAGAGCATGAGAAGGGGGAGAGGCAGAGGGAGAAGCAGGCTCCCTGCTGAGCCAGGAGCCTGATGCGGGGCTCGATCCCAGGACTCTGGGATCACAAACTGAGCCTAAGGCAGATGCTTAACCATCTGAGCCACCCAGGCACCCCCATTTTATGTAGTTTAAATGTTAATGATTAGAAAATCAATAAGTAGAGAATCTACAAAGAGCACAGGATAGCATAGTTGGGTTTTAAATAGAAAAATAACAATTTAATTAATGAGAGCAGCTCTAGCAACCATTCTGCTTTGTGAGCATAGGATTGGATTGAGTCCTTTCCCACTTCTCTCTTCAGAGAAACAGACCTACTTGATCCAGTCATGTCAGTTGCTTTCATTTCTACTTTGTACCATGCAGAGTGTGATCTTGGGTTTAAGGTTTAAAGATAGGCATTTATGGGGCGGAACGATGTTACCTTAGTTTCAGGTGTACAACACAAGAGATTTGACAAGTCTGTATATCATGCTGTGCTCACCACAAGTGTGGCTACCATCTGTCACCACACTACACTTCTATAATATTATTGATTACATTTTCTGTGCTGTACCTTTCATTCATGTGACTTATTCATTCCATAACTAGTAGCCTATACCCCCCAACCCCCTCCACCTGTTTTACTCATCCTTCTACCCCTTGTGCTCTGGCAACCACCAATTTGTTTTCTGTATTTATGAGTCTGTTTCTGGTTTTTTTTGTTTGTTTTTTAGATTCCACAAATAAGTGAAATCATGTGGTATTTGTCTTTCTCTGACTTACTTCATCTATCATAATACCGTCTTGGTCCATTCATGTTCTCACAAATAACAAGATTTCATTCTTTCTTGTGGCTGAGTATTATTCCATTGTGTGTGTGTGTGTGTGTCTGTGTGTGTGTGTAAATATATCACATCTTCTTTATCCATTCATCTATTGATGGACACTTAGGTTGCTTCCATGTCTTAGCTGTTGTAAATAATGCTGCAATAAACATAGGGTTGCTGTTCTGAACAAAAGATTCTCAGCAGCCATGTTTCCATTTCGAAAAGGAAAGAAAGGTTTATTATTATAGAAACCTAATAGAAACAGAAGAGGAAAAGGATCTACATATAGATGAAGGTAATAATAGGCAATAAATGAGAATAAGGCAAAGTCACATCAAACCAGGTACTTACAACATCCAACCTCATCAGCTGGGGAAGCCCCATGGAAACTTCAGCAAGGCTGGAGTCCCAACTGAGAAGTCCGGGCAGAGCATCCTCCCCTCAGGCAAGACTTCCAACTGATCATTCCCATAAGGGCCATATTTATAGGGCAAATAACAAGGTTTGAAATTAAACATTTGTTTGCCTACATGCAGTTTGGAACAAGCTGTATTTCCATGTTATCATGTTTCTATATTTTCAAGGGCTTTGTGTGTCTGCCTCCCCTCCAGGATTCCATTTCAGGGAGCCAGCCTGGCATGGAGCAGGAGGGGATGAGCGACAAGATTTGTAGCCCTTGGCATCCAGAACAGAAGGGCCAGTTCTGACCTGGAGGCCAGATAATGTATTTCAAACAACCAGGCTCCCAAGGTTATTCACACAGCATGAGTCTCACAAACAACATTCCTTAGCCTGCCTGTGTACATGCAGGTCCAGGTGGTCAGTTATGCGGGACAAATCACAAAAACATCTATCCATACAGAACAGGTGCATATATCTTTTTGAATTAACGTTTTCATTTTCTTTAAATACCCAGTAGTGGGATTACTGGATCATAATGGTATTTCTATTTTTAAATTTTGAGGAACCTCCGTTCTGTTACCCTAGTGGGTGTACCAATTTACATACCCAACAGTGCATGAGGATTCCTTTTTCTCCACATCACCAGCATTTGTTATTTCTTGTCTCAAAGATGGGAATTTTTAAAAAGAGGGAGAGACAGCAAGTCATTCTCTATATTACCCTTTCTTATGGGGCTTTCTTTTCTTGTTTAACTCTTCATACAAAGAATAAACTAGTTCTATAAGATTTAAGAAATACACTAGTTCCCAAGTCCCTTCACCTGCATTTTCCTTTCCCACAAGGGTAATCACTTTACTCTTTTATGTGATTTTTTGGATATTTACCTCTGTATGACTAAATTGCAATACCTTGTATTTCTAATTCTTGATTTTTCTTTATTAGCTATTATTTGTTGACTTTCTACATGAAGGATAAGAAGTTAGCTCTTTTTTCCTTCCTCCCTCCTCCCTGACACACACATTTCCCAGCCCCCATACTATTAATTTATTTATATCATAATTTTTTTCAGATCAGTATTCAATGTTTCTATTACTAGGATGATGTGTGCTAGTCAGAGTTGAGCCAAGTACTAAACTATGATTACTTCTCCTTTCATTCATACCTTTGTGTTTCCTTAGAGTTAATAATTGCCTTATTTTTAGTTCCCCTGTATTATTTGTGCATAATGGAAGTCAACCCCAAATTCTCTATTTGCTCTAAATCTCCCCTCAAGATGTTTATTTACACTGGGTAGTCTTCTTCTTAAAGACCTCCTTCAGTCTGGATTGATTGTCTTCTTTGCCAGTTTTTATCATAAATGTGAGAATTTCCTTTACCTGTTTCCAAAGTTAGATCTTTTGTGTGTTTATTTGCCCTATATCTTCTCTTTCTTGGTTTACTCCCTCATTTTAATAGATTAGTCTCCAGTAGCTTCTTAGAAATGGATGTGGGAAGTAAAATTTTTGAAATCTTCAATATCTGAAAATATTTATCTTCCCATATGTTGATTGATAGCAGTATAGATATTTAGGTTACAAATAGCTTTTCTACAGAACATTGAAGGAAATTTTCTTTTTTTTTTTTAAAGATTTTATTTATTTGACAGAGAGAGAGAGCGAGAGCAGGAACACAAGCAGGGGGAGTGGGAGAGGGAGAAGCAGGCTTCCCGCTGAGCAGGGAGCCCGATGTGGGGCTCGATCCCAGGACCCTGGGACCACGACCTGAGCCGAAGGCAGACACTTAACGACTGAACCACCCAGGTGGCCCCCGAAGGAAATTTTCCATTTTCTTCTAGCTTCCACATTGCTGTTAAGAAGTCGTAAGTTACTTTGATTACTGATTCTTTGTATATGCCCTAAGTTTTTCCTCTGAAAATTTTTGGAGTCCTCTTTTTGCCCAGTATGCTTGTAGTAGGTCTGCATTCATCCATTGTTCTGGGCATTCAGTCTAGAAACATCCTTCATTCCTGAAAATAGAGTTTTCATTTGTTATTATGTTTTTAATTTCCAAGGGCTTTTTTTTACTTTGTCTCTAAATGTTCCTTTTTAAAATTAATAAATAGTATTTGTTCTTGTTTTCTTCTTTCATGGATCCATACATTCTCATATCTTTGGTGATACTGATGATGGTTTTTGTTTTTGTTTATTCTCTGCATAGTCTTATTTTCTCCCAAGTTACTTTTTTAGCAGGGAGGGGGGAGCATTGGTTTTGGTTATTTTGGTCTTTATCTCTCATAGTGGAACATTTCCGTAAATGTCTAGTAAACCTTGGTAGTCTATCCAAGTTTAAGGGTGACAGACTTGACTGCTGATGAAAGCTCAAAGTACATGGGAGGACTTGTCATTTCTGTACTTCCCTGTAGGTGGAAATGACTGCCCATTTTTTAGAAAATACCTTGTCAGTGTCTTCAGGTCTTTCCTCTTTGTTGGGCTGGATGGGTTTTTCAAAGAAGACTTCCAATTTCCTACATAAAGAGTAAAGACTGGGATGCCAGGTTTTTGGAAGACAAGTGTGGGAAAACAGCAAGGGTCTCTGCGTTCAGCATGCATATGTTCACTTCATGCCGCTGTTGTGCTTTGATACCCTTGCCTCCCAGCTGTGCCTGGTATCCTAGTCCAAAGACCCTCAGTTTTATCTCTCTACAATGTTAACTTGTAGTTAAGAGTCTAAAACTTTCTTAAAGAGCTTTCAAACCAGGGGCACCTGGTGGCTCAGTTGTTAAGTGTCTGCCTTCAGCTCGGGTCATGATCCCAGGGTCCTGGCATCGAGCCCCGCGTCGGGCTCCCTGCTTGGCAGGAGGTCTGCTTCTCCCTCTCCCACTCCCCCTGCTTGTGTTCCCTCTCTCTGTCAAAAAAAAAAAAAAAAATCTTAAAAGAGCTTATAAACCGTTATGCTTATTTTCCCTTATATCCTTTCATTCTGCTTCAGAGAAGCTTTGCACTGCCATTTGCACAGCTTATTGAAGTTTTTTTTTTCTTTTTTGGTAAATAGGATTAAATAGGATTACTCTTCTCTATTGCTGGCTTAGGATTCGGCTTTCTCAATTCTGCTAAGTCAGTTAAAATCCATCCCTTTGCTAAAGTCATAGACTTAGATTAAGAATCATCCTTAAACATTGGGGAGGGTGGGGCGCCTGGGTGGCTCAGACGGTTGGGCGTCTGCCTTCGGCTCGGGTCATGATCCCAGGGTCCTGGGATCAAGCCCCGCATCGGGCTCCCTGCTCAGCGGGGAGCCTGCTTCTCCCTCTCCCTCTGCCTGCTTCTTCCCCTGCTTGTACACTCTCTCTCTCTGTCAAAAATAAATAAAATCTTAAAAAAAAAAAAAACATTGGGGAGGGTATGTGTTGTGGTGAGCACTGGGTGTTGTGTAAGACTGATGAATCACAGACCTGTACCCCTGAAACAAATAATACATTATATGTTAATTAAAAAAAAAAGAATCATCCTTAGAGGGGCACCTGGGTGGCCAGGTCAGTTAAGCGTCTGACTCTTGATTTTCAGCTCAGGTCATGATCTCAGGGTTGTGAGACTGAGCCCCACATAGGGCTCCATGCTGGGTGTGGAGCCCACTTAAGATTCTTTCTCTCCCTCTCCTTCTGCCCCCACCCCACCTCTCTCCCTCTCTTAAAAAAAAAAAAAAAAAAAATCCTTAAAGCATGACATACTTGCCTTATCTAGTTAATTGGTTACTTTTGATTTTATAATCAGCACCTCTTAATCCACCCCCCAAATCAAAGGCTGGGACCTTGACAATTACCTGCATCTAACCATACATCCATCCCCCTATCACCTACTTTGCACCTTCCTGCACCCAAAGTGATCAGCATTCTGTATGTTCTTCATTTCCTTTCCGTTTTTATGTCATTTTATTATATCTAAATGTGTTCCTATAAAGTGTATGTTTATATTTTAGTTCCTTTCTACTGTATATTAAAGAATATCATGCTATACATAATCTGTTGGAACTTTTATTTTTCACTTTATATTATAGAGTACTAAGGTTTGTTCATACTGTCACTTATCACTGTAGCTTACTCATTTTCACTACTATGTAATATTCTATTTTGTGATTATACTTCATTTCCCTTCCATCTTCTAAAATTTCACTGTTATTGTCTCCCTTCCTTTTCTCCTTTTCCTTGTGGATTTTTAAAAGAATTATTTACTCTAGCATTAGTGGGATTTAGGAGGGAACAAAATTAGAAGTGTGTATTAAATCCACCATTTTTACCTGGGTTACCTAAGTGATCATCGAAAGTAATTTTGACTATATGAGATGTTTTTACCTTACTAACTTTTAAAGCCTTCACCCTGCATAAAGTATGACTCCATTGCACATACTCTAAACCTCAATTATTAGCATTAGTAAATGACATCTAATCATAGAAAGCCAGCAAGGATCTCTGTGGTCATCCAGTCAAACTTTCCATCTGCTCAATGCATGTTCCTAATCAGGAAGCCACGGATAGTACTCTTTGACCCCAGAGGTACCTTTCAATAACAACTCAGAAAAATGTCGATATTTCATTAGCTTTTGTAACCTTACTGCAATTAAATGTGGGGTTTCCGTTAGACTTATTTAAATATTGAAAATCACCTAAGAACCCTCTTTGTAACCTTTGGGGAAATCTAGAGGCCTCAGAGCCCGGGTTAAGGCTGTGGTTTTGAGCACCATACAATAAGACAGAAGTTTAAACTTTTTTTTCTTATCTTTTTTCCATTGCAGGGATGTCATCAAGTGGTTGGTCAAAGTAGTAACTGAAGAAGGATTAACTAAGCCCCCAAATGGGAATCAAACCTCTTCAGGAACAGGAATCTTGAAGGCCAGCAGTAGCCATCCTTCTCCCCAACCCAACCTGACAAAGAACACCAATCAGCTGTAAGGGGCAGGCACAAGCTGTCTTTCCCAGGGCTGTCAGGATTTATTGCTTTAGAGAACAGCAGCATTCCTAAAAGAAGTTTCCACAGAATTAACAAGCTCTTGTAACATAGGCTGATTCTTACTAAAGACTGTCTTAGTTTGGCTACAGGCTAAATTCTAATGCCAAAGTTAAACAAAAGCAGATGCTTTCTCTCTCAGATGAATAGGACTTCACTAAGTGAACATAAGTTCACAAAATTGAAGTGAAACAAAAGCTAAGGGATCCATTTCCTGGATTCCAAGGGACAGTACAGGGTCACAGCTACTCATCACTTCAGCTGACCACTGATGGAAGAGAAGGAGTCATGGATAGTGGGTGTTCCAGCAGCCTCTAGTCCTCAAGGACCTTCATGTCTCCCCTCCAGTCCAGGGAGAAGAACAGCAGTTTAACCTGCAGATTCTAACAGGTTATAACAGCAATGGCTCAGACTAGGGAGGGTCCCATTACCTCAAACCACACTGAAAAGAGATTCCTAGCATTTCTTTTATGGGGTTGAGAGTGGTTTTGGTATTTTTTGAGGGATGCCAGGGTTTTAGGATCTAGAACTGTCCTTGCACAAGTAACCTATTCCATGTCAGTCATATTGTTAAAAGCCCGTCACACTTGACACTTCAAATACAGCATTTGTGCCTAAATTTACAACACTATTTTATAATCTAGTTGCACCAATCTGATTTTCATATAAGACCTAAGGGTTTTAACTAATTTAAGAGACAATCTTGTATCTAAAGGGAGAATGTTTAGAACAAAAAAGTATTTGTTTGACAGAGTGGGGGAGGCTGTAAAGTAGGGTTATCCTAGAACCCCAGTATATAGACCTAAGAGAGGGGCAGACACTCTTCCTTCAATGGAAGAAAATACTATAATCTAAATTATTATTGTTATTTATTCTAATTAAATATTACTATAAATAAAAATAAGGCCCTCTAAAAGTCAATTTATCATGATGTTAACAACAATAGGCACTACCATTTACCATGAATGAGTGCGTATCTACCAAATATCTTACACAGCACTCAAAACTTTATGAAATAGGTGGTATTATTCCCCCTTTTTTAGAGATGAGAAGACTTGGGCTCAGAGCAATTTAGTAATTTGTCAAAAGTTGACCAGCTTGTCATTGCAGAGCCAGAATCTGATGCCAAAGCCCCTAGGCCACCTATTGTGTTACTGACTGCAGATTTTCTGAAAACAGAGCCCTTTCTTCCTTCACAAATAATAATGCTTGTTAAAAAAGGCTGACTTCAGGCCAGGCCCACCTTTCTGAGGGGTAGCCTAGATTCTTTCTGTCACATCAGCCTGGCTTTCTCCCACATTCAGGTCTGATAGGACAGAGGGTCACAGTCTACCAGTTGAAGTTCTGAGACTGAACTTAGTAAAAGATAATTGTAAAGAAACCAGTGACAGGAAAACCGTATGGTAAATATGTATTTTCTCCTGTATCAAAGAAATTTGAATAACTGATAGTCATTCTGGACCTGTTTCTTCATCTGGAAAATAGAAAAGTTATGGGTTAGATGATCCTTAAAGTTCTCTAGATCCTTAAGATCAGATGTTTCTATTTTGAATTTAAAAGTAGCTTGCTTTTACAGCTCAACCACAGGTTCTGAGAGGTTCAGATAGTATGATCTGGCAAGAGGGATTCAGGTAGGTGAAATTGCTAAATAAAAGCATGCTGAGGGCTTGAGTAGTTCTCTCTGACCTAGTATGTGCTTTACAAGATGCTTTACATGGGTGGGGATCTCCCAGCTAGCTGGGTGGCTCCTGGCTAGATTCTCCCACTCACTTGTGTTCTATGTTCTGGACACAGGATTGTGTGTCAGCTGCAAAGGATGCTGTCCATAGCCGTAGAGGTAGACAGGACCCCCACATGCAGCTCCAATAAAATTGCCGAGATGATGTTTGGGTTTGTGCTGGACATTCCTGAGAGGAGTCAGAGGTGAGTCTCAGTTTTGGTTTTTTTTGTGTTCTGGGAACAGAATTTCTGTTTTGTTTTGTTTTTTTAAGATTTATTTATTTTAGAGAGCGAGCAGGGTGGGTGGGTGGGGGCAGAGTGAGAGGGAGTCTCAAGCAGACTCCATGCTAAGCGCAGAGCCCAACCTGGGGTTTGGCTTGATCCCACGACCCCAGGATCACAACCTAAGCCAAAACCAGGAGTCGGATACCCAACCAACTGCACCACCCGGGTGCCCCTGGGAACAGAATTTCAAAAGAAAATTCCAAACAGTAGTTAAATTGGGAAAAAAAGAGGTGGAGAGTCCTGTCTCTTTAACCTTTTGAAAAAAAGAGGTTCTCAACAAATTATTTGCAACTAAGGCATAATTTCTTGAAACAGGCAGGATACCATAACTGGAGCCTACAGTTTCTTACTTTATTCATTTGGCTGAAAACTTTGTCATCCCTCAAGTTTCAGCTATTCCCTGATTCTCAACCATAGAGCCTGATATAAATGTTCGCTAAAGGCCTGATGGGTGAATGAAATAGGCATGTCTGATATTAAGGGAAGAAGAGGTGAGCCAAGAATGAAAACAGTTGGAGCTGTAGAATAAGCCCCTACGGTAAAAATAAGGAACTCAGTTTCTCTAAGCATGAATTAGTAAAGTATTCCCTTAGGAGATAAAGAAATAGAGTTCTTGGCTGGGACCAATGATTCCTCCTTTTAACCAGTAATTTTAGAATCTAGAGGAAAAAATAAATGAATGAATATGAATTCATGAATAGTTGCTAGCACAAGAAATAACTATGAGAGAGCCATCGTACAATAGTGATCCTTGGGGAAATTATCTCCATCGGCTCTATGTCTAACTTCTCATAACCATCCCCTAAACTCCCAGTTGGCAGCCAAGGCTATTATACAGTTTAGGTTCCTCTATTAGAAGAAAATGTCAAATCAAATAGTACTGTAATAGAGATTTAATGAAAATACCCCACTAAGATTAAGAAAACCATTTATTGGGCCCCTGCAATGTGCCTGTCATTGTCACATTAACTCCCTCATATTTTCATGAAACTATGATGTTATTCCTGTTTAACAAATGAGAAAAATACTCAGAATAGTGAAATAATCCAAGTTTGCACAGCTAATTCAATTCAGAACCCAAATTTAAAGCCAGGACTTTTTAATCCCAAATTCAGTATTCAAAGGAGGCAATATGTTACAGTGGTCAGACCAAAAGAAGTGTACATAAATGTCATGCTTGCTCTGTCACCTTGTCAGGAGTATTTCATTTGGGTCCAAATCCCATACCATTCATTCAAGCCCAGATTCTTACGAAAGGTGGGAAATCTAAGGAATGGGTAACTATAAACACATTTAGACTTAACATTGACAAAAATAATTTAAATAAAGCCTGACCCTATTTTACAACTCAGAAGGGGCAAATCGGCAAGCACCCAAATTGTACTAGAATATGCTTTATATAGACTTTACCTTGGTTTATTTAATTTTTAAAAAAAGTTTAGGTATAATTTACATGCAATTAAATTGTATGACTAATTTATATAAGTATTCCATGGATTTTGACAAATGCATAACCCATGTGACCTATCATTTTCCAATGGCTCATTGATAGTATATAGAAATCGTGCAACTTTGCTAAATTCACTTATTGTATCTACTAGGAATTTTTTTGTGGTTTTCGTAGGATTTTCTACATACACAATCATATTGTCTGCAAATAAAAACAGTTTAACATCTTCCTTTCCAATCTATATGTCTTTTGCTTCTTTTTCCTGCCTTATTATATGGACTAGTAATCCAAGAGAATGTTGGAGAAGTGATAAGAGCAAACATCCTTACCTTATTCCTGATCTTAGGGAGGAAACATTCAGTCTGTAGACATTTCATAGGGGTCCTCTGTCGGATTGAGGAAGCTTTCTTCTATTTCTAGTTTATTGAGTGGAGTGTTTTTATGAAGAATAGGTATTGAAATTTGTGAAATATATTTTCTGCACCTATTGAGATAATCATAATTTTTCTCCTTTATTCCATTGATGTGATGAATTACATTGATTAATTTCCTAATGTTAAACCAACGTTCCATTCCTGGAATAAAAAAATTGTACTTGGTTAGATTCCGTTTACTAATATTTTGTTAAGGGCTTTCACATCTGTGTTTACAGAAATACTGATCTGTAATTTCATTTTCTTATAATGTTCAACTTCACCCATATTTAAAGAAATGTAGATTAAAACTACAGTAAGATGCCATTTCTCACCTTTCCAAATAGTAAGAATTTTGAAGTACAATAAATACATTCCATTAGAGAGGTTTTAAGAAAGCAGATACACATTGCTGGTGGGAATGCCAAATGGTACAAACCTATCAGGAATTTTGCAATATGTAACAAAACTAAATGTACATTTACCTCTTGACCCAACAATCTCACTTCTAGGAATTTACCCTGAAGACAGCCTTCTAACAGTATGAATATACAATATGTAGGATATTCACTACACCATTGTTTATAATTGTAAAATATTAGAAACAACCCAGATGCCCATACATAGGGCAGTGGTTGAATATCTCTAGTACACAATGGAGTATTATGCAGCTGTAAAAAAATTAAAATTAAAAATAGGAGCAAAATTTCTGAGCTGATTTCCAAAATATATTGTTAAGTTAAAAAAGCAAAATACAAAAGAGTATGCATAGTAAATATATGTATCTTTTTGTAAGAAAGGAGAAATTTAAAAATGTACATAATTATGATCATTTGTCAAAAAAGAAACAAAGATAAATGGTAGACTAATCAAATTGCTTATGTACAAGGGGCGGATAGGAACGGGCTGGAAAGGAGAAAAGGTATTAAGCCAAAGTGGTGGTGTTGGTGGCATAATACTTCTAAGTTTACTTCTTTGTATAGTTATAACTTTTAGGCTTTGGGAACCATATTAGTGTTTATATTCTAAAAGGAAAATAAATCAAGAAGTGAGTTGAAAGATATATCAACAAGAGAGGGCCTAACATGGAATACAGACACAAATTAACCTAACTGTGTTTTAATAAATAACATAACTGGGGTGAGAGAAGGGGTTTGAGGGGGAACAAGCCCAAGTAACTTTTTTTTCAGTTTTTATTTTAAATAATTATGGATTCACAGGAGGCTGCCAAAACTAATACAGGGAGGTCCTATGTACCCTTCACCCTGTTTTCCCCCAGTGATTACATCTTATATATAACTATAGTACAATATCGCTAACAGGAAATTAACATTGGTACAATCCATAGAACATATACAGATTTCACCCATTTTATATGCATTCATTTGTGTGCAGTGTGATCACATGTGTAGATTCATATAACTACCAGCACAATCCAGATATACAGAACTGTTCCATCACCACAAGGATCCCTCTCCTTTTATGGCCACACCATCCATCTTCCCCAATCCCTGGCAACCACTAATCTGTCCAAGTAACTTAAAACACAGTATTTGGACTAAGTATTCTCAGGCTAAAGAGAAAATGAACTGTGAATAAATATTAAACTCTAGTTAGTAAATTTCTTTTTCACAGAGGTATGAGTTAACAATTCAAAAACTATCTTATGTGTATTCTAGGATTAAACAGATAAATGTATTTTGGATAATGAGAGCCAAGTTTCTCACTGTCAGAGAAGAGAGTTACACATATGAAAAGGGGAAAGGATAGAAGGAACCCTGTGGTGCTGAATTAGAATTGGAGGTATCAATATAAACTTGTGGTTTCTAATAAATATAGATAGATAAAGGAATAGATATAGATGTGTGAAGGTGGCATGTATGTGTGTATTCATACATCTTTTCCTACCACTACCCACTGAGTGTAGAAATAATTATCCCTTAGTAGCAATAAGCTCACCTTTGACCCAGATCTAGAATACCAGTTTACACTAAAAGGAACCAGGATTCCTTGAAGAAAAGGATAATTACACAACTGAGGTAGGGAAAAGTACAAGATGAACCTGGAACATCTTGCGCCAGAAAGTAAGGAAATGTTCAAAGAACGTTCAGAACATGTCAAGTCAAAGGGCTTCTGCTGACCAAATCTGGGATAATTTGAGCATCAAAATAAATATTGACAATAAAATGCTATAAACTATTAAATAAAATAAGAATCTACGATTCTAATACTGACAAGAAGGAAGGAAGAGAAGGGATGTTCTTCCTTACTGTTGAAAGCCAATTAATAAATGTAAGAAGAAACAATGAGTTGGGAAAAAATGCCATTTGATAACCATAATAGTTAATTCAGATATGAATGGATATTAAAATGGTGAAAGTTTGTGGAGTACCAAGGTATTTTCATAATTTCAAAATATATTGCCACAGGATACTCATTAATTATAGTGGGAAAAATAATAACTTTATAGTGAAGGCACTACCTTAGTCGCTAAGTGTTCAAAGTTAACACCAACAATGAGACAGTTGGCATCATATGCCTTTTGATATGATGCACTGAGAAAAACAAAATACAATTCTTGCAGTACTCTTGCCCCAAAATGTACAACCTCAATCTAATTGTGCAGAAATATTAGACAAGGGGTGCCTGGGTGGCTCAGTCGTTAAGCATCTGCCTTCGGCTCAGGTCATGGTCCCAGGGTCCTGGGATCGAGCCCCACATCAGGCTCCCTGCTCGGCGGGAAGCCTGCCTCTCCCTCTCCCACTCCCCCTGCTTGTGTTCCTGCTCTCGATCTCTCTCTCTCTCTCTGTCAAATAAATAAATAAAATCTTTAAAAAAAAAAAAAAAAGAAGTATCAGACAAATCCCAAATGAGAAATGTTCTGTGAAAAAAACTGACCTGCACTTTTTTTTTTTAAGATTTTATTTATTTATTTGACAGAGACAGAGATAGTGAGAGCAGGAACATAAGCAGCGGGAGTGGGAGAGGGAGAAGCAGGCCTCCCCCTGAGAAGGGAGCCCGATGTGGGACTCGATGCCAGGACCCTGGGATCATGA